GGAGAGTCTGGCCACGCGAGACTAGTCTTTGGGTGTGACAAGACCATCTCTAGCATTTCTCCTTACTGGACCTCCTCGCTCTTTTCTCCTCCTCACGCTCATTACGAAGAAGTTGACAAGCTTCACGAGCATCTTCTTGTGAATAACTCATGTTTTAAGCTTCAGCTTCTCTTGTTTCTTAAGTACTCTTCAACTCCTCTCTTCCAGTTAAGTTGCTTTACTGAGTTTACTCCGAGGTTTACTCTTACTCATTGTCTTTGCACGTGGTACCATAATTATCAAAATTATCATTTTAAAATGTGTGATTATTATTTTTTATAGACGCATAAATAGGGGTGACGTACGTGTACAAACAAACAAACAAACAAACAGACATACTCGACTCGACTATGTGGGGCTCGCTTTTGCTCGCCCCAATAATGATAAAATAATAATACCAACAAAGATCACAATAATAATTATAATATTCCTTTACTACTTCACAATAATAGAATAATAATGATAAATAAGTACATGTATCATTAACTATAGCATCATCAATAATAGGGCCTTGTTTACTGTACCAAGTTTGACAGAAACACCCTGTATTAGCTACTAAGTAAGCAGGCTCAGAACTTGATGTATCACGCAGTTCTTCATGATCTACCTTTTGTAATATCTGCAGCAGTGAAATTTAGTACCTTGCTTATAGCACTGAGCAAGCCTAAAGATAGCTACAAGCAGTCATTGCTCAAATGATTATAGCTAGATAGGCAAGTCTACCATAGATACGGACCTGATACCTCCTCTGATGGAAGGTTACGTAGTCTCTAATATCTATGCTTTAATCAATAATAACATAGATATTAGAGTAATATCAGAGTATTAGACATTATATAGAGTAGATATTACTCTAATATCTATGCATGCCCAGCAAAAAAATCTTACGTAAGATCTTACTTAAGATCTTATGAAACCTTACAAATGATCTTGCATGTTTAATCATGCCTGTTCTTGCAAGATCATTAGACAAGAAGTTCCAAAATCTTGCCAAGATCTTATGATAAATCTTGCCAAGATCTTATAAGTCTTACATGATCAGGCATGGTCTGACGATTAATCTTACATTATCAGTCAAGATCAGGCACTAAATCTTACATGATCAGGCAAGATCAGGAACAAAATCTTACATGATCAGTCAAGATCAGGAATGAAATCTTACATTTTCAGTAAAGATTTGGAATTAAATCTTACATTATCAGTCAAGATCTGGAATTAAATCTTGTATGATAAAATAAGCCTCTTACTTGAACATATAAACTAATATC